TTCACAGCCAGATAATGAAATTATTTTACAAATAATTTCCGTTATTGGCTGCTTCGCATCCAATAACTATATAATATTATGCACGTATTGTACATTATAACAACGTATATCAATAAATTTAGAATAGTATTAAAAATTTTTAAAATTTAAAATAGTATTAAAAACCGCAATCATAATGTATATAATGTACATAATGTACAGTTTATAATGTATAGCATCAAATATTTTATCCTCTTTAATTCTAATATTGGACCAATTGTTCTTTCATTTTAAATAAATTGATATGTTTGATAAATTTTTGCAAATATCATCATAAATTTTTCCGGTAATAAATTTAAAATTGCGCGGAGTCCTTTACCCAATATGAAATTACGTAATCAGTTTTGCATGTGTTACTTGGAATTCTAGAAAAACGTAAATTGTTTAAAATATGAAACCCTTATTTCGTACAATATATATATTATTACGATCGTTTTTCGTTAACACAAATACGTACGTACGTACGAACATACATACACGTATTTATGTTGCATTTGTACCGTCGTAAACATTCTTCGTTGTAAATATTCTTAGAATTATGAATTTTTTTACATTTTTTTTTCTATTACCTAATATAATTCAATATATAAAATTTCATTTAACTTTCATAAATAACTTTGCGCATCTTCCTACTTGTTATTGCAAGACAAAGATGGCTTTATAAATCATTATTTACTTGTGACACTCGTGACGGCAAGGTATAGCCATTTCTTTTATAAATATACCTTATTAATTCATTAGGTCTTCTTGTCTCCAACTTTTTGATCATCAAGTTTGAGCATAAAAAATGGTTTCCCAAAGAATTTTGGCTCTGGTCTATATTTTAACCTTCCTCTTATTACTTTCGAATCAATCTCTATCTTCCCCAACTCTTGACAAAAGAACTAAAGGAAACAAAGAAAGAGTTTATAATCTTACTATCACTAAAGGTTCTTGTTCTCCTGATGGCTTTAAACGCGATATATATCTCATAAATGGCCAATTCCCTGGTCCTCTTATTGAAGCTAATAGAGATTATACCATAGTTCTCAATGTTAAAAATGAATTAGATGAAGATACTACTATTCATTCTCATGGAATCTTTCAACGCGGT